ATTTTTTCTATCAATTGAAATACCGCGCTTACCTTTCAAGATATCGCTTTGAAATGTGGTGTGGTCAATACTTTCTAGAAGATCATCATTTCAAGCCATTTAAAGAGTTTTAAAATCTACAGGGTGATACATTTTGGGGAGTAGAGACTTCTTTATCCCCCCTAAACTTTTTCGTAAGACGCCTCTGGCATATTTCAGTGATAGAATTGTGTGGATCGTTCAATTAAGAGGCTTTTTGCTCTTTTATTTTTTTCGAGAAAAGAACCGTTTCTGAGATAAATAAGCATATACGTTCTAAAACATGTTAATTTCGCCTGTTTCGCTAACATTCTATTTTCGTTGAAAGTGCAATGAAATGTACTCACTAAAATTGCAATCACGAGTCCAATCTGGATCAGTAACGGAGAGGGAGTCGGACAGTTCGACCACGGGCCAGGTACCTGTTTTAAGTACACCGATCAGTTGGACCACGACCGCTCTTCGAGCGGATTAAGTTTGTATTCTAAGAATTAAAACAATCACTATTTTCTTAACATATATTAATATTTATTATTGAGGTGAATTATGATCAGACATGATTTTTTCAAAATTATTTTGTGATAAAAGGTCATTTCTTTATTCTGATAACTTGGCTTTAATAAAATCTTTTTTTTTTCTGTGTTGCACTTTTAGTTTTTTGGAGGAACATTTTACGGATATTATTTTAATATTTGTTTCTGCTTGAAAGTTCATTAAAATATTTACAAAATTGAACGAACTTGGGTGAGAACTATAAAAACTAGAATTAAAATGAGAATGAAATGATTCACACGCGTTTGTGGTCCTGTACATACTATCTGTAGTACAAGCCCACATACTTGGGGGAATATTACTTCCTTCATCGATATAAGTTTCCACGATATAATCTCAAAATTTCGATAGACTTGGATTACTGGGCATTATTGAATGAATTTCTTCAGAAAAAAAGAGGAAAAGGTTGATTCAGGCTGAGTTAGGTTAGATTGTTTAGAAGAAGTAGTATTCCTTGCTCGATTCCTTGTTCCCTCGAGCAATTCATCGAAGAATATACTTTTTAGGAAGGATTATTTAGTCCGAGTTGGGTTAGATTGTTTTGAAAAAGTATAGCCTTTTTGCTCTCTCAAGTAATATTCAAAAAAATATTTCCTAGGAAGGAGGTTCATTTAGGCCGAGCAAGGTTAGAATGTTCAGAAAAAGTAGTCTCCTTTCTTATGCAGAAAGGATATTTCCCTTCCTCATATTACGTATCCGGAATTCATCAGGAAGCCATAGAGGAAATGCTATAGCTAGACGCGTGTACTAGACATTGTGGGACTAACGCACATTGTGTTTGGCCACAGTGCATCCTTCGGGTATGGTCGAACTGCAGGGTAGGCTTAACTCGACCTTTTTCAAAAAAGGATTAATACAGGTACTCGTGGTCCAACTGACCGGTCCCCAACGGAGATACCGAGGGTAGAAAGTCAAGGTTTTTTTTTCAGATGAATAAAATTTAAGCGAAACATAGGCAAAATTAACATGTTTTAGAACGTATATGCTTATTTATCTCAAAAATGGTTCGTTTCTCAAAAAAAATTTAAGTCCAAAAAAACTTCTGAATTGAACGATCCACACAATTTGATCACTGAAAGATGCCAGAGGCGTACTACGAAAAAGTTTGGGGGGAATAAGGAAGCCTCTCCTCCCAAAAACGTATCATCCTGTAGATTTTGAAAATCTTTAAATGGCTTGAAATGATGAACTTCTAGGAAGTATTGACCACACCAAATTTCAAGATAATATCTTGAAAAGTGAGCAAGATATCTCAATTAATAGAAAAAAATAATCAAGCTTTGACCCCCTGTAGCTTCGCAATTGAACGAGATCGGACTAGTGTTTACATAAACTTTTTCGAATAAAATGATGAGATCTATCTTCCATTTCAGTTTGTGCCTTAAAACCTCAATCACCCTGTAGATGAAAGATGGCCATATTATTAGCGGCATCTAGGTATAGGTTTATCTACAAAGAATGAATGGTGAGGCGGGGAAGCAGAAAGAAGAACTCTCAATCATCTCCATATATTTCTAATGCAATCATGGAGAAACTATACCCATCTTCAGTCTCATTTAAACAAGAAACATAAGGGGATGAAAATTCACATTATTTCAAAAAACAATGGAAAAGGTGGTGAGATATTACATAAATGTACCCATTATAGGGGATTATAGTAATGATAGGTCACAGGACCTCATCAGCTTGGAAAAACCAAACGCATATTATGGTGATATTACAAATAAGCTATATCATACCATACGCAATTAATTCAATCCACAAATATCTATAAGTTTGTCAGAATATGATTTTGTAACGGCAACATGCAACATCCACTTGAATTTCGGTGTTCGTGATACCCACAAATAATCGCTAGCGAAAATTATTGGCATTGGAGGCGTGAAAGAACCATTCCTCTTAACTATTCACTCGCGTGTTTACCAATCAATTTACATACCTATAAAAAAGTATTGGGTTCTAGAATGTTCTTCGTCGCTAAGATAACGAATGTAGTAGGTAATCTGCATCTAAAAATAAAACTTTATAAGCAAAATCGCTCTATGGCACCGGGAAAAACGGATTTCATTTAGCCGTGACCCATTTCCTCAAATCGCTTATATAATCGATGACAAAGTTAGAGAAATTTGATTGAATTATTTTTTGTTTGATCTAGTTCTCACAAAAAGTGATCTCCTGTAATGTTCAGAGAACATCGTGAGAACAAAGGGAAATAAGGTAGGAATTGGTGTTCCCAAATTTCTGGAGGTTAAAAGCCTCGGGAAACACCTTCTTTGGCAATGTAGTCCAGAGCCTCGCTGTTCGTTGAATAAACGAGTCTTTGGAAAGAGATGTTCTGCAGGTCTCCAAAGTGACCACTAAGGGGTGCGAAGCCTCAACCCGACGGGTTAATCTCGCGGAGACTGCCAAGGAAGGAACAATTGTTGATATTTCAGAAGAGCATCGTCCATAAAAAGATCTATAAAATAAAGCCAGATCGCCAACTATTCTACGGTGTTCCATAGAAGTGAGTGACTTTGTGAGCGAGACATCACCCACGAGACGAATTGCCCTTTTTTGGACAGAATCCAACAGTTTCAGGGTATGTTTGGGTGCTGCACTCCAAATATGGGAACAGTATTCCAGGACAGGTCAAATCTGTGCCTTATAGGTCATAACCAGCTGACTGGAAGTGACATAGCTCCTGGATTAAAACAAAAAACCAAATTTTTGGGATGCACTTCTAGCAATTGAACTCACGTGATTTTCCCAAGAAAGGTTTTAAATGGAGGTCTTCAAAGGTATGGTTACTCCCGAAAAGCTTATGTTGGGCACAGTGAGATCGGCTTTTCTAGAAAAAGGGCATGCTTGTGTTTTGAGCTCTCGCCCGAATACAAACAATTTCGGAAAATTCTCAACATTTTCTAATCGGGCATAAAAAGTAAAGTACATGTAAAAAATTTGGTTATTTCATCACAACGGTTCCGAAAATATTCACATAAAACCCAAGGGAGCCATTTCTGCACCCTGGTTTACATGAACTTTTTTTACAATTTTTGTTCCTCGAATCTGTAGTTGAAATCTTTCGATGTGATTTCGAGACACCCTGTATAGTTCGCTTTGGACTGCATTGTGCTTTCATCGAGTTCTGAGAAGAACATACATGAAACGCCATCAGGTTGACACTGCGCACACATTATTCAATACTGAATGACCCAGAAAGGTGCAATTATTCAATAATACTGTGTTTTAGATATCGGAGATGTTGTGTCTGTATATATCGTAGGATATCCAAGAGACAAAGAAGACAAACATTAAAATCAGGAATCTATACGAACTTAGTTGTTACGACTGCGGAAAGGATAATATTTAGGCCAGACTAGGACACCCATTGTTACAAGGTTCAAAGAACATGGGATAGCTTTCATCGTTGAGATGGCCTATTTTTGTTTGTATGCCCATAACAATGTTTTGTTAATCGCATTCGAATTCTCACTTGTCATGCATATAGGATATACAATGTTTATTGTAATTTACTCACCTACTTAGTCGATGAGTAACCAGTGGTGTTCAATGTACAAGTTCGAACACCGCAATATGAAGCATTCATAAAAATTAATGTTATTCCAGTATTATTGCCATGATATTAATATTTTTCTATTTATAAAACAAAACAGGAAATTGAATATACAATGATCTTTTCATTAGTTCGGTTAAAAGTTGAGTGAAGATCGACAGACGTCAAAAAATGACAAGGTTCGCGCATTGATAAGAAATTGCGAAATGATACCTTTTTTCACAGTTTCCTACGTTACCACGATACCGTGTGCGAAGCAGTGCGAATAGTAAAACGATGCGCAAAGTACATACTTTGCACATTGTACGTACACTATATGAGATTTTTATGTTTCAACTTCATGGTCCTCAATCGAGCAAACATCCAAGAAATCATTTATTTCTGAACGTTGAACAATATTTATTTTTTATTCCTCGCACGACCGCACGAAAGGAAATCCCTAAAATGTTCGTGGAACATCGTGCCTACCTAGGGTGGATAGGGAGAGGGCTTTTTTATCCAGTTCAACACTATTTCATTCAGCTAAGCATATCACTACTTCAGAACTATATTTCATGACGTTTGTAGAAAACATTCTGTTTCCAACTTTTGCGCGAAATAATTTGGTCGTCTCGAATATTTTTTCATCTCGACTGCGCCCCGTTAAAAAAATCAGTTCCTGCTCATCAAAGTAGCATTTCGCGCAATAGATTCAAAAACTATTTTTCTGTTCAGGTATTTTATGATGATTATAGGAACAGGGCAATTTATCTAGTCCATAACATTGAAACAGGTATTTTCATTTATAAATTCAACTATGTATTTTATTTATAATGAACCATTATAGTAGGTATGCTTATAGTTTTTTGTATTATCATTGTATTTTTTGTTACAGGGGCTTCGGTAAACAAGGATACCAGTGTCAAGGTAATTAACATCTTATATGCTATAGCTACCTACTAATAATTAGAATCCTTTCAATTTTGTGGGCGAATGTTTGTCAAGCAAAATTTTTTTTTCAATTTTAACTATTGTGGCTCATAAACACTAGGGAGAATACAGTGCGAAGTATAATAAAGATATACTGAGTCAGCTAATATTTATTTTATTTTGAGTTTTACTGAGAATAGCATGTGATAGCATCTTAGTTGCAGACAATATTTAGATTGTGCCGAAGTTTGGAGAATTATTGATTCCTTGATTCGTTGACAGATAGATTTATGTAATAGGCCCGGATTTGCAAATAGCATTTTGTTTTTTCTTGTCATATTTCGATTACTTAATTATTTTATGACAGTCTTCAGAATTGTCATTACCTAGATATCACCCATTTACACTTTGGGTGTGTATATTTCTACCAAAATTGAGATTCTGGTATATTAGGGTTCTATCTGATGAATTCTTCATCTTGAGATGTTAACTATCGCAATATGTTGAAAGTTAAATGAGTTCATAATGCAGAGTTCTATCTACAGAATGTTTCTCTCTTTTAATTTGGTGTAACGACATCCTAACTACATAATTTGGTTTATCATGGTCCAATCTACACCAAGATAGAACTTTGTTTCATCAAACAAACACATATATACACCCTTGTTATCCTAGTTCATCAACATTAAACATTCACAGTCATAGTGAGAAGTACATGATTTGAAACTGATTTTTTTTCATCTTCATTTTTCATCTAGAACTCGAAAGCAGTGAATAAAAGAAGCTATACTATATCTTGGTAGCTGAAAGTTACCAATTCCAAAGATTTCAAGAAACTCCAACACAAAAATATTCATTTCTTCCAAGTTGCTGACAGAAACTATTTCGCTGCATTCCTGAAAGATTCAAGTTGATTCAGTCATTTTGTACTTCTCCATTTCGATAATTCGAAACATACTTTTGAAAAAATCTACGTGCCGCAATTTTTCTCAACATATTACCATTAATACTACCCATACACATATACTTACACTTAAATACATTGATTTAGAAGTGAATCTGATGACACTTAGAACATTACAAATTAGTTTTCTTGTATTATTTTATGAAACAAAGATGCATTCCATTGTATGTCCATTTGTCAGTTAGAACCTTGTTCAATTAATACAATCGAAAATCCTTCTGGAACAAAAAACTATCTACATTTTAGATGTCCGAATTAACATTCATTTGAGAATGAAGAAACAAAGAAAATCAACTGATAAAACCTTTTAAATATACTCAATCAGAAAAAAAAATCTGATCGATTGTAATGTAACGAAATAAATGGAGTCAAAAATTCACAGCACGATTCTGAGCAACTATACTTGGTCCAGATAGAACCTTATTAGGGCGAGGAATGAGCGGCGAACTCAAATTGCGATGGATTTGAATGTCCGTCTTGCGAAGACACTAGGAATGAGCGACAGACTCAAAAAAATGTGGATTTGATTGACCGTATCACGAATGCGAGTGCCTCGTGAAACAAAAATGTGATCATATTATTTATCATAACCCGTAACCACTGAGGTGGATTATTTTCCTTCGACTTCTGAGGTGCAGACTCACAGACTCCAACTATATCAAAAGAGGTTGATTGAGGAATGGAAATTGAAATATTTGCAATCTGAGTGCTGCACTAGTAGTATTTATGTTTTCAGAATTAATTATCAACAATTTTAACAAAAAAGTTTCGTGAAAGTATAATATTAATATGTATCCACAAATAGGGTACCAAAAAGTGCATTTTTCACTTTTTTTACCATTTCTGACCAGAAAACTGAATTGTATAATGACATAAGTATGGTAATTGGGGTAGAACAAAATCAAAAACGTGAAGAACAGAAAAATGGTTGAAGACATAATTATTTTCAATGCAATTTCCTCATCAGGAACGATGAGTATATATAGCTAGTTTCACTTAGATCGCTGTCAAGTTTATCAAGTCAGTCAATTTCAAATTTTGCATCAAAGTCATTATCACACGGATTGATTGTTTGTCGGGAAGTCCTATAGGCTTGGGTTATAAGTAAAGAGTGAAAAACGTACTTATTGGGATGGAGTCTGTTAGTCTCCTGATCCACTTCAACTGCTAATAACAATTCATGTGATTACATTATTGCCTATTTGTCGTGATGATCCGCGAGCCCAACCATTGAGTTTTAATATGATTCTCCAAAGAAAGATTGATCTATAACGATAGTGATTATGCTAATCCGATATAGAGATGTCTTCACAGAAACTCGGTAAAGAATGAATGTGAATTTACATTTTGAGATACTTAATTAAATGAAGATGAAACTAGACAAAACTAGACAAACTTCAACAATGTCTTCCATCTTGGTTTCGAATTGGTGATTATCGTGAGGTTAGGTTTGCACATCTAGATGTATGTATGTACATTGTAAACCACATAAGCCAAGATCATTTTGAGATATATGGTTATTGATTAGTCATACAAGATACGGTATGATTCGTGAAGCTTTCTCAGTTATAATGGACGAATCAATTCGAAATTTGAGACCATGTAGAAACTCGGTAAAGAATGAATGTGAAGTTACATTTTGAGATACATGATTAAAAAAGGATAAAACTAGACAAATCTACTGTGACGCTACTGAAAATATTATTTCGAATTTTATCACATCAAGAGAAGCCCCATGTTACATTAAACGAAACCACCAAGTTTCATTGAAATTGGTATGAAGACATTTGAGTAATGAATAAAAAACCGATTTTTCATGGAAATATAAATGTATTCCATTATTTAATATTCATTTTGATCTTTACCAAACCATCTATACCTCAACTGTTGATCTGTGCCACAACTGAACATTGTGGTGATTAAAACAATATCTAATATTGATTATTATATTTTATTTTTCAGTTTGTAGTTATGTCGTCCATAAAAGATGTCATGAGTACGTGTCATTCACCTGTCCTGGAGCAGATAAAGGTGCAGATTCGGATGTGAGTATAATAATTCCTTCAAGAAAACAAGAAAGCTCATATTCAAAGTTCTCCATCTCATAACTGAGAGATTTTGGATGAATAGACTCGCCCCAATTGTCAGTACTGTTTCGGTCCACCGGGACGCATCAGTCTTCCTCGGTCTGTTTTATTGTTAGATATTGAGAAATTTTCTACTTCATTTTGCAGGATACCAGAACTCGACATAACTTTAAGGTGCATACATACTCATCTCCTACATTTTGTGACCATTGTGGCTCACTATTATATGGAGTAATTCATCAAGGCATGAAGTGTACAGGTAATTTTTCGAACAGCAGATTTATATCTTCAACATATTTAGGTTTGAGAGGAGCTACAAAATAGTATCGAAACTGTCAAGTGTGTCAGGCACCGTTGATCAAAATCTCGCTTTTTATCACACTTTTTGGACTCAATAACATTGTCTTTTCGATATGATATCTCCTGAACAACATGTAAAATTATCTCATCAAACCCTCTATTGTATGGAAGGTTTTATGTGAAATTGAGAAACTGATGAAAATTCTGTAAAATCGTTAAAATTTCCGTATAACCTGTATAATTTTCTTGAAAATTCTCATTCATGGTAAATACCTGAGTATTTGATCGTTTCGGTACTTTTTTGTTAACCCTGTATAATATTATATCGCATGACGTTATAACAGCACAACGATAAATTCTATAAAAATCACTTCACCTCAAAAAACTGAAAATTCCTTGAACTTTATAAATAATCAAGATAATATATTGATGCAAGCTCTTTCCTACACTGGAATAAAGAAGGAAGCAATTCTGAAGGAGAATGCAAAAATAATAAGTTGATTTATTGTGTTAGAAGTATCACACATAACATTAACTATGATGTTATTTTATCTAGACGATTCAGGACTCCTTCTGTTGAGAAGTTATCTTTTTTTAAATGTTCGTTCAGTTGGTTAAATCAAAGATCTTCTGTAGTCTATGGTTAAATGTTGTAAGTTGACAAGTTCAACCAAATCTTAAATGAGGAAAGAAAACATTGTTCGCTCACTATCAACCTTACAATATCCATATTTCCAAAAGTTATTGAGCCTATATAAGCTATCAACATGGAAATTGAAAGATATTAATGGAAAACAGCACCAACCGAAGCTAAGAATTGTTCACATTTCTATAGGATTCAGCTTATCAAAACTCATTGAGGTTGCTCTAGAGTCGATTCATCGAAAAACTATCAAGTTGATCAACTCTAAAAAAAACAACAGGAAACCTTATTGAACATTGAAGAAACATTGTTGAACTAATACTTCATCGCTAATGTTGTAGAAAAACCATTTGTCTCTCTCTTTGGAGGATCTACAAATATAAGCCTCCCCATCCTCACTTTTCACGGTTCGGGACGGAATCATTTACAGGGTGATTCAAAATTCGATGTGAATATTCGAAGTTGGTGTTATTGAGATCAAAATAAGACTTCTTTGTCATATAAACATCCTAAAATGCACCTCCTTCAAGGTACAGTTACTGTAATTTGGTTAAAACATGATTAACTGTAATTGTAGTCACGTTCGGTATTTACATCGCAGATTAGAGCAGATTCTAGTCACGTGGTCACAGATAGATCGGAGCAATCGGCAATAAACGAACGAAGTGGACATTTTGTTGACAGTGTGACGGTAACCTAACCTAACCCCATTCATTTATTTCATTTATTTCCATTTCAATATGAGTATACCAGAAACTATCAAAATATAAAAAATATAAAAAAATTAATTTTGAATTTATCATCTGAACACATTAATTAAATCTGTCACTGCTAAGTGTTACTTACTATTATTTGTGACAATTTCTTCATAATTCTCATCTGATACCATAAAGCTGTGTGTTTTGTCTTGTTCAGAATCAAAAAGTTGTATTTCTTTCATTATGAAAACGTTATTTTGAAAATACGAATACCAGCACAACGACCAGTCATACATAAACATTTGAACATTAACCTCACAAATTCAGATCAATCGTTTTGCTCGGTCAAAAGATATTTGTCTGATCGCTCCGATCTCATTTGCCGAACGGATGAGATCTACTTCCCCTACATCTAGATCATAAACGAACGATTCAGATTCATCGGAGCAGTCTGATGTAAATACCGAACGCGACTTGGTGATCATAATAACGGATCAAATCGTCTGAAAACTGGCATGCTCCTGTTTTTAATTCACTCTTCTCCTCTTTTGCTTCAAGAATTATGTTAACCCAGTTGTAGGAGAATTGAAGGGGGGGGGGTTATCGTAGCTCGGGGGGGGGGGGGGGTTATCGTAGCTTGGCGAGAGGGGGTTTATCGTAGCTCGGGGGAAGGGGGTTGATTTTTTGGACACATGTCAATATGAAGAAACAGTTTAATTTTGATCACAGCGAAATGTCCTTGAAATAGTTACATCTACGAAATAGGCACAATGCTAAAAGTGGAATGAAATGTTGAATTAATACAAAAAGCTTGAAGTCATTTCCACACAATCTTCATAAACAACAATGGTAGATTTCGGAAGAAAACCAACTACTTTCTTGGCTAATGCCACGCAGAACATTGAATTACATCATCCCGAAATCTATGCATCGACTCGTATAAACGATTACTAATAAACTGGGCGTCAATTGAAACGTTAATAGTGAAAATTGGCATCAAGTTTGACTTCTCTTAATTTCTAAAATATTGAACAAATTTTGAATTGCCGCCCAGATTCTGAAAGCCTCTTTCATCGTATTTCGAACCGTTCCTTACAGCTTCTTCTAAATTGATCAGGATCCATGATACAGGGTGAAAAAAAGTTACGTGCATTTTGAAAAAAAATTCTCCGCCCCCCATTTTGTCAGAAGACCACGATGCTAATATTTTATCCGGGCATTTTATAAATAGCAACCATACCTCGGACATTTTCGAGTTTCTGCCATAAACTACTGTCGTTTCCGAAAAAAACATTTTTTTTTTATTTTTTTTAAATGGACTCATTTTAGAGAAGTTCCATAAATGGATGCTTTTATGCTTTTCAGGAAATCGTTGGAGCAGATATGTATACCAGGTTACTCAAAAACAATCAATAATTTATTACTTCGCAGTCTATGATGAAAGTTTTCTACCTTAGTGAGCAGTAAATCAACACATCTCATCAACAAATACAAACAAGGATACCTTGTTTTTATAACAGCGTATTGTTGAAACAATGTAGGTATGCATAGATAGAGGTTATATCAATTGCCAATTTTCATGAAAACGTCAGTGTAATTCGGGTCCTAAAAAATTTAAAGATGCCTCGTTCAAATCGGGTCGAAATGGAAATTATCATTAGGTAAGATCACTATTATAGTGGTATAAACTATAATTCAGTACAGATAATTATTATTTCAGGTTACGACGATTAGGATATACCCAAACTCATTTAAGTACCATTTTCATAAGTCAGTCATTAAAGAGACTGATTCATAGTTTTGGTGATACAGGTAATTAGTCCATTTAAAAAAAAATGCTAAGAAAATTTTTTTTCGGAAACCACAGTAGTTTTTGGCAAAAACTCGAAAATGTCCCGAGGTATGGTTGCTATTTATGAAATGCCTGAATAAAATATGAGCATCGTGGTCTTCCGACAAAAAAAAATGCACGTAACTTTGTGTCACACTGTATCATGGATCCTGATCAATTTAGAAGAAGCTGTAAGGAACGGTTCGAAAGACGATGAAAAAGGCATTCAGAATCTGGGCGGCAATTCAAAATTCGTTCAATATTCTAGAAATTACGAGAAGTCAAACTTGATGCCAAATTTCACTATTAACATTTCAATTGACGCCCAGTTTACAAGTGAATCTTTCCTGAATGCCCATTGATTTAGATTAAGCTAGGCCACGCTAGACACCTACAGACCGGTTCCGAGCTCTTTGACTCTCCTCAGTGCGGGGCAGTTTCCAGCCAGCAGTCCTAAGACCGCCGACTATGCGTAGCCTAGCCAAACAAAAATCAAGTTGGCATCATATTCTCCCAGAGGCGTGGCAACCATCCACTCCCGTTGGTAAATTCAGTTTTGGAGTGTTTCTCTCCTCCTTTTCTACTCAGTTGGCGTTGCTTTCATATTGTCTATGAAGGACGTCTCTGGAGGAATATAATGCCGACTTGGTTCTTGTTTGGCTAGGCTACGCTTAGTCGGCGGTCGATGCATAGATTTCGGGAGGATATCGGGAGGATGTATTTCAATGTAATGCGTGGCATTAGCCAGGAAAGTAGTAGTTTTTCTCCCGAAATCTACCATTGTTAAAACTACGAAATAGCCACAATGCTCAAAGTGGAATGATATGTTAAATAAATGTAAAAAGCTCAAAGTCATTTCCACACAGTGTTCATAAACTGAACAACAATGGTAGATTTCGGGAGGATGTAATTCAATATCCTGCGTGGCATTAGCCAGGGAAGTAGTTGTTTTTCTCCCGAAATCTACCATTGTTGTTCAGTTTATGAACACTGTGTGGAAATGACTTTGAGCTTTTTACATTTATTCTACCATTGTTGTTTATTTTATGAACATTGCGTGGAAATGACTTTGAGCTTTTTGTATTCAATTACATCGAATTTTAAATCATCCTGTATGTTTCAGCTTTCGCAAGCACTTAATTCTGACGAATAAAAAAATTCTATGAAAATACTCCACTGCTCGTTTCATTGTACAAGATGAAATACGCGTTCTATAATATCCGATGTATCCTGGGTCGAACAAAGATTGCCTCAAGATATGATGCGGTCCAATTTCCAAACGGGAATCTAATTCTTCCACATTCCTGCTGCACATATTAATGCCCCTGTACATGACCTGAATCGTCCAACCACTCGATCTGATATTGGATATCCCATATCTCACGCATTGTGAGATTTATCATCTCCTACATGGACTGTTCATGCTTGGGAGAAAATTGATCGATAAAAATATTTATTCGATCGGAAACATTTGATCAAAAATATGGTTGATGTAAAAAGCTTCACGAAGGATAAGATTTCCACGAAATTCTTAAGGGACGAAATGTGTCATTTATACATAGTAGCTTCTTTTACATAATAGGTAAGTGTACCTATTTGACATGCCACTTGCAGTTAAAAGATCAGGGGCCTCAATTTTTATAATGAAAAACTGCTGGGTTGTCTGAAAAATCAGGTGAATTTGTCCATTTCTATAATTGCCATTTTATAATTTCACTTCCAGTCAGCTGCTTATGATCTATAAGGCACAGATCCGACCTGTCCTGGAATACTGTTCCGATATTTGG